ATTTGAAACGAAAGTTTAGCTTTTTGTCATATAAAATTGGCAGCCTGTAGCCCAATTTGTAGCGTGATAACGAAGTATCGGCAAAATAAAAGAGGAAATTCACTGATCATCGATTTAAACAGTTTCTGTTTACAGGAAAGGTATTCAAACAAGCGGTATGTACTGGGCATGAATGACTCATTGTATAACTTTATACAGGAGAATTTTCTCAAAGTTTTACGGTTCAAGATATGGGGAAATGTTCTGAATTAAAACCAATGGCGATGTAATGTTGGACCATGATTGCATTATTCAAGTTATTGCTCAAGTTATATTCAGCTGTGCGTGCAGCATCCATCAGCGTATATAAGTAATTTCTGTTTGAGGTAAGTATTGATTCTCAGTAATTGGCGTCTTGCATTCATAGCGCCAGTCTGAATACACCAATGACTAAATGCATATCGTCCAACAGCACTGAACCATTACTCTGCTAGGATGCTTGATAAAGCTGATCTTGTGTCTAATGGAAAAGACATTCGTCGGTCTGTCTCATTTAACATACGGAGAAAAATAGTGGAAATGGATGAAGTCACCCAAGAAATTAGCCAATGACTCCATAAGGGCAAATGAATCTGGAGCTCAATTTTTTTCGACTTTCCTTCAGCATTCAACACTGTTCGCCGCGACATGCTTCTAAGTAAAATAAAAATTACGGCGTCAATGAACTAATCATTCGCTGCTCAGCTGACTACTTTTCGCACTGAAGCCAATTCATGACGCTGAATGGTAAAAAATCGGAAACATGGAAATCAAACTTAGTGTGCTTTAAAGCTCGATTCTCTCATCACAGCTTTGGAACATGTTCGTCAATGACTTTATCATAAATGCCCCATTCAGTCTTAAGTATGCAGGCGCCACTCTCGTATTAGATTTCAGTTTCCGTTCAAAGTATAGGCCAGATACAAACTGAAGTTTAGTTTGCGCATCGAAATTAGGAGCTAATTCTTTAGCTATGCTGCTGAAAGTGAATCAGATTTTTCAGAATTTTTCAGATTGTTTTTTTTTTGCTTTCCAAATTTCTTATTTCCCTTTGTTGAATTGATACTGCGGTACACTTCTAATGTACAGGGCAATAAAATGACGTTAGGTTATTATGATACGTTATGACATATCCCCGTATCGATAATTTGTACTTTACTGTACGTTCGGTTGGTGCAGTCTTGCGGCGTTGTGTTACTTGATCGATTATTGTCGATAGCTTTTTGAACTTCACATAAAATAGATACGAAGTTAATGATGTACTCTTGTACATGCATAGCTAGTCGTTCTTTGAGTAAAAGTCGTTCCAGTGTGCGTGTAAATTTGTCATTTGCCGTTTGCTGAGACCGTAGGCGTTTCAGAAACGATTGGATGATGATGAAAGTGAATGTCAGAAGTGATCATTTGCTTGGCGTTGATATCTTATGATCTTCGCTGTTGTCCTCATAATTCTGTATTTCTGAAATATGCACGTGACATGTAAGGCCTTAATGATCGATTGTAGGACCTTAATGACCGATTAGCCTTAATGACCGAGCGCCTCTCTTGCCCCGTTAACCTGTTTTCTTTTAGTTATTGACCGGATTTACACCGGTAGACTCTGCATTTACTTGAAGTTCCTGATCGTTTGCATCTCGTAAATGATTAGTTAGCTTTTAGCGAAGTGGCGAGCTGCTGTTGTCACGCCGTCTTCCTACGCTAAAAGCTAAACAGAAGTAGCCGATTATGAATTCCGAACGGTCCTCAACGTAGGTAGTGGCAGTTATGGAATGATGCGTATCTTCATGCGATTAAGAGAGATATATTTAGAATTAGGTTACTCTGCCCAGAAGTTTTAACCAAAGTGGCGATCCGTTCATAAGCGGTATCTGTGGCGAGAAATTTTCGAACCTTTTGATCAGGTATGGCCTTCAGTCAAATCTTACCATGTGGCAAAAGTTATATCTTCATTTTCATAAATCCACCCATGTTCAAAGTTAAAAACAACTGCAAGCAGTTCAGGTGGTAGCTGACCGTACTAACTTGTTTATCGCCTGGCTGCTAAGTCGTGTCTTACCCGGCAACGGCTTTGGTGATTTGGAGATAGCGGCTTCTCAATCCGTTCAAGAACGTTTGTCATTTTTGTACTACTTAAAGTTTCTTCTTGATGTAAACCGGTTCTTTGTTCGCTTAATTGCTGATCAGATATTTATGCTGATGCCGAAGTTCATTTACGAAACTGAAAGCGGAGCTTTATGTTTAATAAGCGTGATGACAACCATTTTTTCAATACTACCGATTGCATCACAAGGCGGAGCCATCACGCGGTACTGCCGTGTGCCTCGCCCGTTTTGACTTGACCTCTCCAGAAGATCTGGTTGTTCGCAGTTGACTCATCTGGTAGTTGACTATCCAGTACGATACTTCGCACATAGGGCGTAACCCCAAACGTCATCAGCCAAGAAATTATTGTTTTATTTTGTTTGTGTAATTGTTAAAATGGCTTTTTGTCATGCTTTTTTTATTTATATGCGAATTTATGGGTGACACCTTGTGCTGGTTCGGTCATCTATCGAGGCAAGTACTAGTCGTAGTGAAGGCATCAGACGCTACTGCCATTGCCGTCGTCATCTAAAGCTACTGGAACTTCAACTTTTGATTAACCCAATTTCATGATGTCTGATTGTTGGAAGTTATGCTTCAGGTAGCATTGCAATGACATCAGAACCCAATGCTTCAATGTTGGCAGGCTTCTGATATCCTGTCCATTTCTCGATTGATTGTGTCGATACGCACTAGGATGAATTCTGTGCTCACTGGAGGTATCAGTTAATAAAGAAATTTTAAAACCGAGTTGTAAAAATGGCATGGAGCACTTCTGATAGATGAAAATTGTTCTTAGCTGAAAAACTACCCTTATGCTTGAAAAAGATAATATTTGATCTGTGTGTGCTTCCAGTACTAACCTATGCGTGCGAAACGCAGACCTAACGCTTGAACGCTATTCTCTAACTGCGGGCTATACAACAAAGTCTGGAAAGATGCTTGTTGAAAAGACTAATAAATGGGTAGGAGCACAAACGGTAGTCTGCAGTGTGACTACTGGAGTGAGAAAGGAATGGCAATGAGTAAAAACACGTTGCACAAAGATGCGAACATTGCTGGAACAGGCAGACTTTAGACCGGGTTCCAAGAGATCAAGTTGCCTGTATGAGGAACCCTAGATACATGGCGGCATGAGCTGAAGATATTTGTTGCATAAAAATGAACAAACATTTCAAGGAACAGAAGCTTCATGGCAAAGTCTTGCAGAAGTGTTCATCTAACAATGGATGGAAAAAAACGGATGAAGAAAGAAATTCTATTTCTTGCTGAATTAGAACCATGCACGCTAAATTAGAAAGCCAGGCAACGATGTGCTGTTTTCCCCTCCTTCCATGTCCTAAGGCGTGTTCCTAATTGGTGATGCAGATGGAAATTGGTATTTTAACTATCATAAGGTCATGCATAAATAGCGTTGGGTGTTCCGATACTTTAATTTAACCCAGTAATTGCCGAAAACTGATCTCTTTATGCGTAGGATATTTATGTATTTATTGAAGATATTTTTATCTTCAGCGCTGCTAGTTGTTGAATCTGAGTGTAATTAGTTTTATTGCTTTCTTTTACTGCCGGATCTTAAACACCCTATGTAAAACGTTGAAGAGTGCTTGAATTGAGTAGCGCAGATGATTTTTTCGTCAAGCACTCTAGTATTTTAATGCATTCTTTCCATATGGTTCATATTTCGCATCCTTGAAGCACAGAATCTACATCTGGCTTAATGGATGTGAAATATTCTTATGTTACTATTCTGAAATTTAGGGCAAGCATGGATTACGATCACCCATAGAAGGTGCAGTAAAATTGTCTTCGACCAAGTCATTCCCTCTTCATCAATGAGATCATCGATAGAATTAATCTCCGTGTCGTTCCAAGACGAAAAGATCATTTTGAATGCTCTACCCTAAATTTCAGCCAACTGAGCATCTTTAGATTGATGTGATCAGTTGGCTAAACGATTGTCATAATGACCTACTGGCTCTTCAGAACCGTTGACAGTTTTTCTGTTGTTCATTCGATCGACAGTGGTTTTGAATATCTGTCCGATTTTGTGAAATGAAGCATCATTAAGTTTAACATTTCAGTAACATGTGGTCACGATAAAAAGTACAGATGATACATGAAACTCATGCAATAATTAATGAAAGGTTGTTTTTTCTTTTTGTGAAAACAAGCCGTTTCTTAGCTTCGCTTTGTTTTTCTTTCTTCGGCTATGTTATGTCAAGAATGCTATGAACATTTGTTCAAAAACTTCGTGATTTCTTCGATGGCTGATAACGCTAAGATTTGCACGTCGCCTCTAGCTTTATTTCAGCTTTAATATTTGCTTTCATCTAATGTTTTTTATCTTTAGGTGATGGTCATATGACCGAAAGCACTGAGGCGTGACATTAAACCTTTTGCCACGAGTTGCCTTCAAAGACTTCTTTGCGAAGGTACATTCTTTTGTAAAAAATTATGTAATAAATTCACACCTGTTCAGGGATATATGCGTAGAAAGTGTGCACCTGAATTTTTTGAATCTTAAATTTGATTTCTTTGATTGCACGAGATCTCAGTACAAAAGTGCTATTTTCGTTTGTTAATGTTTTTCTGGAGCACTTGCTAATTTATAGATCTGCGCTTCATTTTAATTAAAGGATAGGAATATTTAAT